AAAAAAAAAAAAAAAAAAAAAAAAAAAAAAAAAAAAAAAAAAAAGAAACTACAAATGCTAATATCAAGAAACGTATAGAGTCCCATGGCGATACAAAGCAATCAATGCCGAACTGAACATAGCCCAAACAAAAACAATCCACCAGGCCATAAACAATGCAACCTCTTTCACCAAGGCCGAGTGATTCGAAAATTTCTCTACCATCAGTGTACCTACAAGAAAACGATCATCAAATTGCAAAAAGCCAATGAGAAGAAGTACCATCATTGCTGGCACGAAGAATTGCACGGCCACAACACATAAGTAGTGATTGTGTAGAAAAACTTTTGCCCGGCTGTAGTCCAATTCGGGGACCTTGCTGGCGTGCAGTCTCTGGTACCAACACAAGACGGCTTCGTTTAAAAACATCTGCACGTTCGGGCGCACAGCAAGAAATTGCAGTATTCCGGAAGTTAGCAAGCACCAAAGCCTTACCTCCTCAAAATTCGATTTTGACATGCCGACATAGCAAGCCAAGTCTGTAACTCCGTTTTTAGCGTCATGATCCTCATGAACGAAAAAACCGGCAAATGGGCTTATCCAAAGCAATGAAGTAAATACAGCCATTATGTAATTAGCATAAAGGAGCATTCTTGAAAACCACCCGCATGAAATTATCGACAAATTGCAACGAATCTGATCGGTCCCAAGCCAAAAGGCCCTTGCGTTACGCAATGCAGGAATGTAAAGATAGCCCACAATGCAGCCCATGTACACAGCAAGAAGAAACTTAACTAAACCATCCAGTGATCCAAACCCAAAATCAAATATCCATTTAGGGACAACCTCAAAAACAACACTTAAACCAAGAAAAAACCCTGAAACACCGAACAGGAAACTCAGTTCCTTCTCCAGCTTCTTGGCTGCAGATTTTTCAAACCCAACCCTAACTATCAAAAAGAACAATCTACAAACCCCGACCAGCCCTAGCAAAAGGGGAATCACAGTCCCATTTTTCACCATCCCCGAATCTTTATCTAAAGTCAAGAATCTATGCAGGAACAAAGAACACAACGCAATAAGTGTGAAATTGAAGGCACTGTAAAATTCTTTGAAATAAATTCTCGACTGGAGGTGACCTTCGGTAAGCTTCAACCTGAAGATCTGAGCTTTACTCTCGTCAAATTCGAATTTGTCCTTGGATTTCTTTCTGGGCTTGGGAAGTTCTGATGTAATCTCGCCGGGCCTTCTAATGGCGGCTCGGAATCCGCCGGAGGATGAATTGCCGCCAGGGTTGACATCATCTGGGTGAATGTAGGTGTTGAGGCCATGGAGGAACAAAGCAGGGATCTTGAGGAATGAGAAGATAAACGTGAGTGAGATTGCAAGTGCTGTGTGGATGATTAGATTGCTGGTGGTGGGAATTACTAGTGATATTGGCATTATTGTCGTTGGGACTCAATGCTCAACAAGGTGTTCGTTATTTGGTCTGAGTGAAGATGTATGTGACTCGATAATTTAAGGGGGAATATGGAGATCTAATGCACCTACGGTATTTTGCTATATCAGATTTCAGTTCTATGCGGGTACTTTTATGAAGTTATTTTTAACTATTTATTTTTTATATTAAATTATACAGTTTAATCGAGGGTTACAATATGTTTTATGTAGTCCCGCTCACCTGCCCACCGTGGGCAGGGGATTAAAATTTATACTTTATAGTATAATTCAATAAAGCAAGTGTGGATATGAACAGACTTAGTGAATATGCGTAAAAAGAAAACAAGACACCTATATTGTCAGAAAACAACAAGGAGAATGGTCCTCCAAAATTTTTATTAAGAGACTACATAGTGATGTATTAGGAAATATGATAGTGTATGGAATGTATAGGGAGGAAGCTTGGCTTGTTTTTCATGTCTTTAAGACCTGAAGAGGTTGGTATTTATACAAAAAAAAAAAAAAAAAAAAAAAAAAAAAAAAAAAAATAGAAAAACAATAAAGGCCCAGTGCCGACTATGAGCGTAGGGTGGCGCCGCTTGTTCCCATGCACAGCTCGTTTTTTTATGATGGGATAACTCGGGAGGTGGTTTTATCAGCTTTTTCAGATTGGCGTCCAGATTATGAGTGATCGCCAATTTTTTCCTAGAAGATTAGGAGAGAGATCGACAAGGACTGATGTCTGCCGATCGGGGGATCGACATACGACAGACCTAACAACCTATCGTGGGATGTTTTTGTTGCGGGAACTTTTATAGGCCCAATTATGCGTATGGCCTTTCACTCTTGGTGGGTCGTGCTTTCAGGAAATATTGGTATAAGATAGAGGTCCCTAGGTTTCTAGGCGTGGAGGGATCGCCAATACGCCTGGAAAGCTACAAATCTCAAAATATTGCCGATCAGGCAGTGGTTATGCTAATGAGACGTCTCTTCAGTTGAGGCATTAAATTAGGAGGTGCATCTTGTTGGACTTTAATCGTGTTTCTTGGGCTTCGTGTTTTAATGTAATGGGGCACAATGAATGATGGAACTGGGAATGTCTTCAATAAATAGAACGTTTCCCTTCAGTGCGGCTTTTTTTTTTTTTTTTTTTTT